AATTAAGATGAGTCCAATTTCAAATCCTCAACTATAAGGATACTCTGGATGTTCTGATATAAAGGTAGAAACCAAGTATCCCATTCACTACCCATACAACTACAAGGAAATGGTCTGAATCCCCAATATATCCTTTCTTAAAATCCTAATTCTTCTCACTCAACAATGCACAAATGCTGCTTTCTATCAGACACTTTCTGTAGTGTTTCATCTAGCTAACAAGGTCTTTCCTCGGTGTTGCCTTCATCCCCAGAGCCTATCTATACCATCATACCATGTGAGCACCAGTAAGGTAACAAGGATGTAAAAGGGTATAAACCAGGGTTGATACATGATCCAAGCTGTTCACCTTATTTTCTTCTCTGGGAGTTTAAGTTGGGACTGCTGAGTCTGGTGGTGCACACCTATGATCCCAGCACTTGGGCGGCTGAGGCATGAGGATCTCCGAGAATTCAACGCCAGCCTGGGCTACATAGCGAGTTCAAGGTTAATTCAACTACATAGTGAGACACTGTCCTAGAAAATTAGGACGAAACCATTTGGACTGGTCTCCTCAGTGAGTAATTCATGAATGTGAGAGATACAGGATGATTGCATACCAAAAAGGCAAAGACAACTATCTATTGAAACGGGAAATAAATTAGATTCAAAGAAAAGAAAATTACCTAGGTTCCTAACAGCTTTTCTCAGTACCTAACCTCATCCTCAAAAGACTCAGCTATCCTGGGGTCTACAAAATACCCTAAGATTGTACAAATGATATCTTTTTTTTTCCTGCCGAATGTCCAGTACTGGCTTCCTTTATTTGTAATCAAGCAAAGCTTGACTAAAATAGCTTGCTAAGTCAAATATATAGTTTTTCTTTTCTATTTTTCAGTATTATTTTACGCTACTGCACCGTTAGTAGAGACTTTATATTTAAATCCCCTTTCCCTCATCCATATATTTAGTGATACTTTTTATTCCATCTTACCTCTGACAGGACCTTCCTTACAGGTATGAATTCATAACAACTTAAAATTTCTCTCCCACCTCTCCAAAAGAATTACTGCCTTTTATAACAAGACTTTTTTCAATCATACACAATATATTTTAAAATTAAGTCAATGGTTTTCTACTACTTCCCCCCACAATTTTCTACATTGATATTTCCCTTTTGTGCTTATTTTATACTATCTTCAATGAAATGGGATATTTCTTTGGCAAATATCCTTTTTTTAAGCCTCAAAATACAATACGGATAGCTGAGAGGCAGTACAGTTTAACGGTTAAGCACACTAGGGGCACTGGAGCAAGACCTACAGGTATGTATGAAACCTACATCTGTTCCTGATTAGCTTGCATTGCTTCTTTGGCTCATTTCCTAACTTATAAAGGAGAAAAATAAAGGTATTGACCTCAGAGAGCTACTGGCAGAATTTAATTAAAGTATATAAAGTACTCAAACAGGGCTGAAGGTATGTGGCTCAGTGGTAGAGCACTTGCCTAGCATGACCTTGGCCCTGGGTTCAATCCCTAGAACTGAAAGAAAAAAAAAGAGTAGCGTTAATTCCTCTAGTAAAGTAATAAGTATAGCACAAACGCTAGCTACCAAAGTCACTACTCACAAAAGCAACTTTTATAACATGTCCTTAAGTCAATAAATAGTCAGTAGTATTCCTTTAATAGCTGTTCAGAAATAGAGGCCCCAGGGCACTCGATTCTTAATTCAAAGAGTAAATTATAATCAGGAGGGTTTATATACCATCACTGTCCAACAGAACTTCCTGCAATTATGAAATGCTTCTGTGCTGTCCAATGTGATAGCCACTAGCCATATTTGGCTGGTGAGCACTTAAAATGTAGATAGTGTTAACTAAGAACTACATTTTTTATTTATCTATTTTTAATTAATGTAAATAGCCACATGAGTCCGGTGGCTACCATATCACACAACAAAACTTTAAAAGATAACCTAGAAACTCCAAAATATATTTTAGAATAGTCAGGAGATTTCACATTACTCATTATTTAAATGGAACTTTCCAACTTAAACATGCAAATTAGTAAGGTGTTACAAATTCCAGAAATGTTTAACAAAGAATAAAAAATATCACATGGTTAATGCAAAGGCTACTTCTGCCACTATTTAAAAATATAAAATATAAAAATATAAAAATTTAAAAATATAAAATTTTAAGCTGGACATGTGAGCACACACTGGTAATCCCAGCACTCAACATGTCAAGGCATGAGGATCACCTTGAGTTCGAGGCCAGCCTAGGCTACATAATGATTTTAAGGCCAATTTGAACTACAAAGTGAGATTCTGCCTTAAAAGAAACAACAAAACAAAACAAAAAAATCTTAATTACAAATAAAATAAATATAATATTAAATGATAACAACTTTAATTCAAAGGACAATGGTAAATCTGAACACTTACAGGTAGATATTCTAGAACGTAAGAATCTTAGGAAGAGGAAACAGAAGGAGGAAAAAAATCCTCTATGACCCCATATTCTTGAGCTGATGACAGAAAAAGATACACTTCTGTCTCGTTCCCTCTTTTATTTTAAAAATAACAAACTCTTTTGCTTTCTACTACTGGAAATGAAAGAGGGAAAAATATGCCAGATGCCTTACGTATATGTTTAATCTCCTGAAGCCTAACAGAACAGTAAGATAAGCATTTTACAACCTTGTTAAGGGTAAAATTAGGAAAAGTAATTTGCCCAAGATCACATGGCTAATACATGCTCAAGAGAAGTGAACCTGCATCTATCTGGTTTTAAGACTACACACCAGAACTGCCTGTCAATACCAAGCCTGCTTTTGGAAACAAGGCAGCAAGAAGCCTTAAAATAAATCTAAACATCAGGTCATTCTAAACATCAGGACAATCAATATCAAGAGGAGAGCAATAAAGAAACAGATGGCTAGGAAATCATCTGTGGAACTAACATTTTTCTGGGAAAGCTCATACTAAAATATCCCCATGTGTTCCCTAGAATAAACCACCCATAAACAGAAAAATTAAATCAAGACTAAAAGGTATCTTAAAGGGAGAAGTATAACAAAAAGTAAACAAGGAAACAGAAAAAGATAAGAGGAAACAATCTCAGGAAGATGGTGACTGTCACCAGAAACTACTTCAAGCACTACTGTAGTAAACCAGTGTCTCAAGCTATATACACGTGAACCATAAAATACTCTAAAAAATATTAGGTAATTGAGAAATGCAGGCTCTCAAAAGAAACATCAAATTTATTCTGCCTTCAAAATATTAAATTACAAAAATAGTCTGTTGCTACATAATGTAAAAGAAGTCAAGTGATAGATATACATAGCATTTAGGTGTATGAATAAACTTTTCAGTAAGCTTTTGATCTTACTGAATCTATACTTAGAAATAAAATACAAATACACTTCAGAATTTGAATTAAACTTACTGAAACTCAGGAATTAAACAGATTATGTTAAATGTTTAAAATTCTACTGTCTGACAGAAACTATGTCTATCACCATCTACACTCTTAACCTTGCCATCTAAAACTCAGGAAATAAACAGATGTGGACAATGTGGCATCCCCTCACTATCTACTCTCTCACCATCCAAATTCAGGATATGAATGCAATAGATTCAGACTGCAAGGAATACTTTCAAATCTTAAGGGTTTTTAAAATATAATTTCAGGGCCAGGGATTTAGCTTAGTGGTTCCATCGCCTGAAGCACAAGGACTCAAGTTCGATCCCTGGTAACAACAAACAAAAAACCAAAACAATAAAATATAATTTCACATGACTTAGGGTTTTTCAGCAACATGCAGGTATTCTGAGTACAAAACAGATCTTAGAAAGTATCTGTTTAGATATTTATATTTCTCAGCACTCTGCTGAACAGTTAAGTTACTGCCCCTCAGCTCCGAAGCGCAACATTCCCCACTATTATCCTTTGTGATGCTAAAGCTAGAATTTTCTCTACAAACCATGCTTGTACTTTTCAGTGGGGTTCTTAAAAGCTCTACCAAGCAAGTCAAAGCACTAAAAACTGACTGCAAATCTGGAGGGAGACACTTGTGCCTTTCTGTCTACTCTCTGGGATTCATAAAAATGTTTCCTTAGCAAAGGCTTATCTCTTCACCAACAGGCCATTCCCATAACAGTAAGCTAATCAGTTTGCAGTGTTTCCAATACTTACTGAACTAGTTCCATAATACACCATGGGCACCATGGGCACCCCTCCTCAGAAGTCTAGGTCTCAATTTGACAAGTCCCATCTTCCAAACTGACACCAGCATCAGTCCTGTAGCAATTTCTCCTCACAGGTCTAAATCTCAATTCAACAGGATCTAAGTTTTTCACTTGTCCTTGAATTTTATGGGTAATATCTGGTGTCCTATTGTGTCTTATCTTCGTAACTTGAGTTTCATTTTTTCTTTTCTGTTACCTACTTAACCTTATATCTAGTTAACCACTCTCTCTATTAAAGCATGTCTGTTCAAATTACTAGTATGGTTTCTGCCTAGGCAAAGAACCCTAATAAAACAGAACTGTCTCATATAGAATATAACATTGTTACTGTAACTATTATTAAAATGTAATTTTAGCCTGCCATGGTGGTATATGCCTATTAATCCCAGCACTTGGGGGGATGAGGCAAGAGGATCACCATGAGTTCAAGACCAACCTGGGCTACATTCTGTATTCAAGACCAATCTGAACTACATACTTGTCCCAACAAAAAAAAGTATAAAATTATGTTATCTCATGTATATAACTATCACCTTACTAAGTTCACTTAGTTCACTAAATTTACTAATGCAGATTAAGAGCAGATTCAAATCTCATTACTACAAAAAGCTCTGGTGGCAAAAGTCTCTCTCCACTACACTAAGATGCACTACTTCACAAAATAAGGTATAATATTTCATTATGAACTCCATCTTGAAATTCAATGTAAAATGAGTTTATATTTTAAGTGTTAGATATTCCAACAAAGAAAAAAGTAAGCACTCACCTTAATGAAGTTACAGATGGACAAGCCTGTCCATACAAACCCATCTGGCCACAAAGAGAATCTAAAAAGTAAACAAGAGTTAGTTATTAGATGCTCCAAAAAATAAACTATAAATCACACTAAAATTCTAATTAAAACTCTGTGAACAAGTAGAAGGCTAAAAGAATAACCATTATCAGAATACAAATTCACATGAATGAAAAATGCTACTGCGTGATAAGAGGTATATTATAGGGAAGAAGAAACACATACCAAGAAGAGTTAAAAAGAGAAGCAAGCACACCCTATGAGATCCAAAGGAGCTGAGATTTCACAAAATTTGATAAAGTTATGCTTATATAGTGTGTTCAAGCTATTTAGAAGAATCTCAGGCATTCCCAAAAGATGCCTAAGCTGCCATGGAGTTGGGCATACAGGTCCCTGCTCCATTAACTGCCCCCCCATTTATTCATCTCTTCAATGAAAGCGGTAATACCTTTACTGGTTATATTTATTAAATTTCACGAAAACATCTGAACAAACAGTACCACTGCTTAAAAAAAAATTAAGACTAATATCAGACAAGGAGCTCTGAATAAGTTCTAGGTTCAAATTCTAACTTGTAACACTGCTGAGACCTTGAAGAATTTATCTAATTTCACTGAACCTCAGTTTCTTCATCTGAAATTTGGCAATATAACACCTGTATATCACTTTTTAACTTTATTATTGTAGATGTGCTATTAGAACTAAATAATAAAATGAACAAATGTGAAAATGTCTATTAGCACTCTCCCTAGGATGTGGCAGTGTGGAATATTTTCACTAGGCACAAGAACGACTCACAAATGCTAAAGTTAACTATTATGATTTGTACCTAGATGTCCCCCCAAATCCCCATGCACTCATAGGTGGGAAGTTCTGAAGGTGGCTGGATTAGGGTGTCTGAATGTGGACAATGAGATTAAGAGGGTGGATAATGGAAGCCCCATATAATGGATATAGGTGGCAGCAATCAACAGATTTGCAACCTGGATAGAATACACAGTAAGGGACAGAAAGAAGGCTAGCTTGCTGTTGCTGCTTCACCATCTCTTGCCTGTTTACCATAGACTATTTCTCCTCTGTGATGTCCTCTGCCATGCCACCCTGCCTTGGAGCCAGCTAACAATGAAATGAAACCTCTACAAACTGTAAACTGTGCATACCTTTCCTCCTTTAACTTGAGGGTTCCAGATATTTTGTCTCAGCAATAAGAAAAGTGACTAAGACATTAATATAACTGAGATAAATTAGAGTAGTATAGGTGTATACATGTGAATACACTGCACAAGTGGTAAGAGACTGTGAGCATGTTCAGACTGAAAGGAAGGGGCAGCTGCTACTGGCAGTTCTAGCCAAAGGTTGCTAAGAAAGAATATTTTAGGTTCATGATTGTTTTGCTGCTGGTGTTTGGGGGAGGGGAGTATGTTGTACTGGGGACTGAACTTTTCTTTGAATTGGGCTATATCCCCGGTACTTTTTTTTTTTTTTTTTTTTTC